GTTATCATTCATCTCGTTGTTATCATTCATCTCGTTGTTATCATTCTGTCTCTTATACACATCTAGATGTGTATAAGAGACAGCCTTCACGCCGCTCAGTAAGCCACCGCGCGCTGTTGTCTCTGTTGCTCTTCCTGTTCACGTTGTTATCATTCATCTCGTTGTTATCCTTCATCTCGTTGTTATCATTCTACTCGTTGTTATCATTCTTCTCGTTATCATTCTTCTCGTTGTTATCATCCATCCCGTTGTTATCATTCATCTCGTTATTATCATTCGTCCCGTTGTTATCATTCATCCCGTTGTTATCATTCATCTCGTTGTTATCATTCTTCTCGTTGTTATCATTCTTCTCGTTGATATCATTCATATAGTTGTTATCATTCATATCGTTGTTATCATTCATCTCGTTGATATCATTCATCTCGTTGTTATCATTCATCTCGTTGATATCATTCATCACGTTGTTATCATTCATCTCGTTGTTATCATTCATCTCGTTGTTATCATTCTTCTCGTTGTTATCATTCTTCTCGTTGTTATAATTCGTCTCGTTGTTATAATTCGTCTCGTTGTTATCATTCATCTCGTTGTTATCATTCATCGCGTTGTTATCATTTATCGCGTTGTTATCATTCATCTCGTTGTTATCATTCTTCCCGTTGTTATAATTCTTCTCGTTGTTATCATTCATCTCGTTGTTATCATTCTTCTCGTTGTTATCATTCTTCTCGTTGTTATCATTCATCTCGTTATCATTCGTCTCGTTGTTATCATTCTTCTCGTTGTTATCATTCCTCTCCTTGTTATCATTCTTCTCGTTGTTATCATTCTTCTCGTTGTTATCATTCATCTCGTTGTTATCATTCGTCTCGTTGTTATCATTCGTCTCGTTGCTATCATTCGTCTCGTTGTTATCATTCGTCTCTTTGTTATCATTCGTCTCGTTGTTATCATTCATCTCGTTGTTATCATTCATCTCGTTGTTATCAGACATCTCGTTGTAATCATTCATCGTGTTATCATTCGTCTCATTATCATTCACCTCGTTGTTATCATTCATCACGTTGTTATCACTCATCACGTTGTTATTATTCATCTCATTGTTATCATTCATCTCAATGTTATCATTCATCTCAATGTTATCATTCATCTCATTGTTATCATTCATCTCATTGTTATCATTCATCTCATTGTTATCATTCATCTCATTGTTATCATTCGTCTCATTGTTATCATTCAGCTCATTGTTATCATTCTTCTCTTTATCATTCATCTCTTTATTTTCATTCATATCATTGTTATCATTCGTCTCGTTGTTATCATTCGTCTCGTTGTTATCATTCATTTCGTTGTTATCATTCATTTCGTTGTTATCATTCATTTCGTTAATGTCATTCATTTCGTTGTTATCATTCATCTCATTGCTTTCATTTTTCTCGTTGTTATCATTCATCTCGTTGTTATCATTTATCTCGTTGTTATCATTCATATCGTTGTTATCATTCATATCGTTATCATTCATCACGCTGTTATCATTCATCTCGTTGTTATCGTTCATCACGCTGTTATCATTCTTCTCGTTGTTATCATTCACCTCGTTGTTATCATTCATCTCGTTGTTATCATTCATCTCGTTGTTTTCATTCATCGCGTTGTTATCATTCTTCTCGTTGTTATCATTCTTCTCGTTGCTATCATTCTTCTCGTTGTTATCATTCTTCTCGTTGTTATCATTCTTCTCGTTGTTATCACTCTTCTCGTTGTTATCATTCTTCTCGTTGTTATCACTCTTCTCGTTGTTATCATTCTTCTCGTTGTTATCGTTCTTCTCGTTGTTATCGTTCATCTCGTCGTTATCATTCAACTCGTTGCTTTCATTCGTCTCGTTGTTATCATTCGTCTCGTTGTTATCATTCGTCTCGTTGTTATCATTCATCTCATTGTTTTCATTTGTCTCGTTGTTATCATTCATCTCGTCGTTGTCACTCATCTCATTGTCACTCACTTATCTCGTTGTTATCACTCATCTCGTTGTTGTCACGCATCTCGTTGTTATCATTCATCTCGTTGTTGTTGTCGTTGCCATTCCACTTGGTAATGGTTATCGATCCATAAGTCGGTGTTGTTGTCATTATTTTCCTGGGTGTTATATATCATATGTATTACCATTTGTTGACGCTCTTATTATTTTTGTTGGTGTCATTTTCTTTTCGTACGAATTTTTAGTTTTCTGTTCGTTGGCTTTGTTATCATTCCTTCAGTTGGTGTTGTTATCATTCCTTCAGTTGTTGTTGTTATCATTCCTTCAGTTTTTGTTATCATTCCTTCAGTTGGTGTTGTTATCATTCCTTCAGTTGGTGTTGTTATCATTCCTTCAGTTGGTGTTGTTATCATTCCTTCAGTTGGTGTTGTTATCATTCTTTCAGTTGGTGTTGTATTCATTCCTTCAGTTGGTGTTGTTATCATTCCTTCAGTTGGTGTTATCATTCCTTTAGCTTGTGTTATCATTCCTGCCATTTTATTTGATGTCTTTCCAGGTATATACAGTATGGCGGTCATGAGAAATGAATTACTGGATAACAGGGCAAAATATAATAACAAAAAGCTTAATAATTTAATAGCTGGATAACAGAACAAAATATAATAACAAGATATCTTAATAACTGGATAGCAGAATAACATTTTAACAGGAATACGGAATAGGAACTCAACAGAGCAAAATCTCAACAGTGAAAGACAATAACAGAGTAAAATAACAACACGATAACGGTATCGCATGACAACAAGGAGACCGGTCACTCTGAGTGGTCCTTAGTTGACCATGAGACCTTGAAGCTTAAATGGACCTTGAAGCCTTACTGGGCGTCTGAAGCGCGCTTGAGAGCCACCTTGAGAGCTCATAAAGCGTCATCAATATTATCAAGATGCGTCTCAAGCGCGTGCAAAATGCGCTTTGAATGTAAAGACCCCCTGCGATGATATTGCCCTTAAATGTTCTTAGAGCGCGACTTGAACACGATGCCTGTTACACGCTCATAACGCTTTGATGATAGCTGAGGGATGATTCTTGTACGCTTGCAAGATGTGCTTCGTACGGCATCAAGATGTGCTTCAAACGCCCGCAAGCTGCGCTTCAAATGCCCGCAAGATGCGCTTCAAACGCCCGCAAGATGCGCTTCAAACGCCCGCAAGATGCGCTTCAAATGCCCGCAAGATGCGCTTCAAACGCCCGCAAGATGCGCTTCAAACGCCCGCAAGATGCGCTTCAAACGCCCGCAAGATGCGCTTCAAACGCCCGCAAGATGCGCTTCAAACGCCCGCAAGATGCGCTTCAAACGCCCGCAAGATGCGCTTCAAACGCCCGCAAGATGCGCTTCAAACGCCCGCAAGATGCGCTTCAAACGCCCGCAAGATGCGCTTCAAACGCCCGCAAGATGCGCTTCAAACGCCCGCAAGATGCGCTTCAAACGCCCGCAAGATGCGCTTCAAACGCCCGCAAGATGCGCTTCAAACGCCCGCAAGATGCGCTTCAAACGCCCGCAAGATGCGCTTCAAACGCCCGCAAGATGCGCTTCAAACGCCCGCAAGATGCGCTTCAAACGCCCGCAAGATGCGCTTCAAACGCCCGCAAGATGCGCTTCAAACGCCCGCAAGATGCGCTTCAAACGCCCGCAAGATGCGCTTCAAACGCCCGCAAGATGCGCTTCAAACGCCCGCAAGATGCGCTTCAAACGCCCGCAAGATGCGCTTCAAACGCCCGCAAGATGCGCTTCAAACGCCCGCAAGATGCGCTTCAAACGCCCGCAAGATGCGCTTCAAACGCCCGCAAGATGCGCTTCAAACGCCCGCAAGATGCGCTTCAAACGCCCGCAAGATNTTCACGTACAGGATCAGCGGCATGTGGGAGCTGAACCTGAACTACTGGGAAAGGCTGAAACACCTGGGGCTGTACCTGTCTCTTATACACATCTAGATGTGTATAAGAGACAGGCTTTAGCAGGTGCACTGCTCTGCATCTGACTAGCAGGTGCACTGCACGTCATCTGTCGAGTAACAGCGCTCACCACAATAAATAAAGCATTAAGACATCAATACAATACAAGGTGGACCTCACCTGCTCGAAGTACGTCGCGAGCATCATGCTGGTGGTGGCCACCCAACACTTCAACTTAACTACAACTCAGACCTCAGTTCAACTCAAGCTTCACTTCAACCATAAAATAAAATTAAAATTCAGTTCTTTCCTTTAAAATCCAGTTTAAATTTTCTTCAATCTCTAATTGAGGTTAGGTTTCAGATCAATTTCAGCACCATTCAACGTTGAGCCAACATGAAGAGTAAATCAAAATTTAAATGTGAACGCAAGGGCAGATGTGTCGTCACCTTGGTCGCCAAAATAGTTTTCATTGTTCACAGAAATATTAATATAATGACTGCGGGTTGATGAATTTATTATGAGAATACATAATACAGTAGAAAATGTGGCAACAGGCAGCGATCGTGATGATTGTTAACAGATTATCAATTTTCTACACTGACACGGAAACCAGGATGCCAGGAGTAGGTTCGGCACGCATGCCACTTTGCAGCGTCACGCGGCCTGCACTTGCAAACACGACCGCGGAATATGGAGAGCTTCAATTATACGACCATTTATCATCATTCGAGCAGAATAAAAATTTATATCGAAGCATACACAATCATTATCAAGAATTCTGGGATTTAAACACCAGAAGTTCTTTACGTGTAGAAAAGACACAAGTGGGCATCCCGGCGCAGCGTCAGGAGCATGAAATCGCACACACCTCCCTCCCCGGAAGCTCAAGGCACACTGAGGCAGCGGGCAACATTTTGCAGGCATAAATGCACGCGAGTTCCCGACTTTTTAGGCTTGGCCGCGGGTGTGGGGTTAGCCTTTATTTTTACTGGAACGGGTTGCCTCGGGTTTCAGGAAATTGAAGTCCAGAGCAGGAATTAATGAGCGGACCGTTTAGGGAGGCTCAATGTCGGCTATGGCGAGTGGTGCACAACCGCAAGCAAAGCGCCTGTTTACATTTAGCAATAATTTGTTTCTTCTATCCCTTATTTAACTAATATCGATGAATAGATTTGTACCTTCACTCATACTAAGTTATTTGAGTTAAAAACATCATCACGAAGTTTTTACGTTGTGAAGTTAATCATTTTTAGTTTCGCAAATGCGACATTAATGCAAAGGCTTTTATGCGCTAGCATGCATGAATAAATCCTTGACCATAAATATGATTGATAAGCATAAGCTCCAGCCTGTGTCTTTGGTGGGGGAGGGAGTGGGTGGAGGGAGGAGAGGGTGGAGGGAGGAGTGGGTGGAGAGAGGAGTGGGTGGAGAGAGGAGTGGGTGGAGAGAGGAGTGGGTGGAGGGAGGAGTGGGTGGAGGGGGGAGTGGATGGTCATGAGCATGAGATCATGCCTAACTGCATGAATGAACAATGCACATGACACAATGTAGGCGAGCGCGGGCATGAGCATAGCCATAGCCATAGCCATAAATAAGTAATATAATGAAATGAGAAAACCTGAGCATTGACTTGACATTGGAAATATGAAACACAATGCAAGAGCAACGTGACATGAATTATTGTTATTGTATCATGTGACGTGTTATGCCATCACAATTGTGGACTGTAACGTCGCTATGATGCCTATGAATATGATCGCTCTCAGCATCTCTTCATCACAGACGCTGCACCATACGATTAGCTAAGTCATTCAGCGGAAAATAATTTTTTATGATTTTCCATTTGGTGAAAGAAAAATGTCATTTGCTGGTGGCACTGAAGAAATACACAGCGTCGCTAATGTAGCCGCGACACGGCAGTCCTTCTAAACTGCACTTCTGTGGGTCATACTGACTGATACTGAGATCGTATCAGTGTTACGAATGAAAAATGTGTCACCATCTGAACAATATAACCCATTTATTCTTCTTAGTGAGTTAGTGCACTGTGCACGTAGCCACCGTGGAGTTCATAACTACACAACTTGATATTGTCACGGCTGACGACTGTCGCCGTGCGACTTACGTGTGATGACAAACTCAATCTAAGATCATCACAGACACGCCATGGACATAACAACCATAGTACACTAACGATATACGTGGGGTGTCAGTATACGGAGGTAACAGTATACGGAGGGTGCCAGTACACAGGGTGGTGCCAGTATACGATGGGTGACAGTATACGGGGGTGCCAGACTGCCAGTGTATGGGGGCTGGTGGCCTGGTGCCAGTTTACCAATTGCGGAGCTGCGTGAACGCTGCACTGCATGCGGTGTTGCGTCAACGCTGAAGCAACTGTTGCGTGAACGCTGAAGAGAAGCAACTAGTTCGAGGTCTCGGAGTGTTGATGTGTACTGAAGCCACCTGCGATGACCACATCGAGGAAATAGTTACTCGAGGGAGACAAAGGATGGGGTGGATCTGGCGGACATTTCGAACGAGAGAAGCAGCACCAATGATTACACTCTTCAGAGCCCTTGTGCTCCCCAATCTTGAATACTGCTGTCAGCTTTGGGCGCCACTCAAGGCGGGTGCGGTGCGGAAACTGGAGGCAGTGCAGCGTACCTTCACGTACAGGATCAGCGGCATGAGGGAGCTGAACCTGAACTACTGGGGAAGGCTGAAACACCTGGAACTGTACTCACTGGAGAGAAGAAGGGAAAGGTATATCATACTGTACACTTGGAAGATGATAAACGGACTGGCTCCCAACTTTGAGAGTGAGACCTCCAAAAT